TTACAGCACCTGGTGTTCCCGAGAAGTCACCCTTCTAGTTACTGACCAGGTTCGACGTCGTTTAAATTCGGCGATCGAACGGGAACCGGTGTTTCAACACTATATGGCCGTAAGCCCTCCTGGGTGTGAAAGAATTAGAAAATAAAAACATTATGAAGGAGCGAAAACAATAGAAGAGTAACCAGAAAGACAGTAGATAACGATTGACATTGAATTTAAATTTTTGAAGATCAAATTTGGTTGGAAAGCATAGAAACCACAAGCGACAAAATACGAGAAAAGAAACTGCTAGCATAGAACTTACGGTTACATCCTAGCCAATTCAATAGTGAATTGATAAGGCCTTGTTGCTAATCTAGTACGACGATTAAATTCATAAAGTCTAGGTACCATATCGAATAGTTCACCAGAACAATTACCATGAAAGTATTTAGAGAAAAGGCACAGGGAAGCTACATTATAGCTGTGTGAAAGTGAATGAAGCCGAGATGCCAGGTCAGGACCAATAATATTAAATCTTCTACTTTGGATTTTATCAAGAATCTCTAAATATACAGCAGAAGCACTGTAACATATATGGACAAATAGTAGACTTATAAATATGGAAGACAGATTCAGTGAACCAATTTTCTTAGCACCAGACCTAGCAAGGGATTCAATATAATCTGTCCACTTCATTTCGGCCGAAAATGTTAGCCCGAGAATGTGCAATGAGTCATTATCGTGGAGGTTAGCATCAGCCATGCTGATAGGAGGCAGGAAAGAGTTTTTCAGATGATTAATTAAAATAGGTTTCGTTTTGGAGGCATTAAAATTAAAAAAGCCATTCCTCGCACCAACTGTAGGTCATTTTTTAGATCAACTGCTAATTTGATCTTATCGAATGATCAAACTTAATCTTGAGATGGGAGTAAATGGTTGTCATCAGCGTAAATATCAAGTTGAGAACTGATGTCATCAGGAAGGCCATTGATGGAAATTAAGAACAACGTAGACCCAAGGATAGGGCGCTAGGGGGGACACCTGCATTATTAGAAAAAGATCTAGATGAGTGGCCGTTCAAGACAACTTTCATTTCGCGATTTGATAAGAACGATTGAATCAGTACAAAACGCCATCCGTAAATACCATAGCCTTTTAACTTGACCAATATGAAACACCCTGATAAACGCTTTCAAGACGTCCAAAGCAACAGCCCAAGCTTCACCAGTCTTATCTAATGCTTGATAATCTTTTTCAGCAAAAATCGTTTGTACATTAGCAGTGAACCCAGAGAAGCGAAAGCCATATTGCTTGTCTGAAAAAACCCTGTGATGTGAGAGGCTTAACCAACATAAAACTGATTAGGGTCTCTAGTAATAGATGCATTTTCCAGGTATTTCTTTAATTTGTTCTCGTCACATAAATTTACTAAAATAAGTTTCGAGTATCTAAATTTATACTGTTTGTCTCTAGATTTGACAACAAAAAAGTTAAACACTATTTATTCATTAGACTGTTTATTTACAACTAGTGTACCTGTGCCTTCTAAATTGATGGCAAGGAGGAATGTATAATATGTATTATATATTGTAAGGAATTTTCGTTTAAACCAAAAGTACAATTTTGTCATTTAAAATAGTTCGTTGTTAACGTTAATAATTAAACACTGTATAATTTATAAACCAATAAGGAAAAATATCCGTATTTTATCCTCATAAATGCTACAACAAAAATAGTGTTTACTACAAAAGTTCCCAAAGCACAATATTTTTATGTAAACTTTGAAGTTCTGAGGAATCCTTAAAAGTCCGTAGATTCAATGTGTAATTTCAGAGTCTGCGTATTTCTCGTCCTACTAAGAGCAACGTATTATTAGATTTTTTTGATTTTTTTCGAGCTATTACTAAATTGCACAAGATATATTCCGAATCGTAACCTAAAAACTGCATTAAAACTTTCTGATTATTTAATTGTATAAGCTTTTGATTTCTATCATAAATGATCAGTATTTTGCACACTGCCTATCAATTGTTGCACGTAAATATCTATCTATCTATCTATCTATCTATATATATATATATATATATATATATATATACAGTTGCGGCCAAAATGTTCAGAACGGCATTGTTTTCGTCAGAAAAGTAGGTATAATTTTTTATCAAAGTTGTTTTATATTCTATAATTTTCACAGACAATAAATACGATATTACTTGTTATTGTCTGAGATTTTGGTGTAATTTGAGAGGATAATACAAAAGTTATGGATGATTTAGTGATTTACTGCAAAACACATGGCGGCCAAAATGATCAGAACGGTTGCTTTTACTCCGTATTTTAGTATATTTAACCGGCGAACTCTAATTTGTTTAATTTGTTTAAGTGTCGATTCGTTTACTAAACATTAGTAAGAATGAGGCGCCACCGGTCAGTCCCGGTCACGGCCCCAAATTGTGACCCACTCTAACCCTGGGCTGATTGCAGCACCATCTGTGACGATCTAACCCTTGGCTGGTTCGGATGGAAATCTGGCTTACCATGGAACAATGTGTGACACTAACCCCTCTGGTTGTCTTGGTCGTGGTCGATGTCTGGTTAGAGTCGATATCAGCTTTGTCGTTCCCAGCTCGCCTCCAACGTCTGGTTACCGAAGTAACTGCTTTGATATCTAGTCTAAACTACCCACGTTGTGATTTGATCTTAGGTAGACGAAATCAATTATGCGTCGGGCCGTAGTGCAAGCTGAATCCCGGGCAAAGGTGACACCGCACAAGTGTATGTAAAAGAAAAATAATGAAATAAACTCAAGAGGTTTAAATGTGTTGAAAAAAATAACAAGTATCTTTATATCTGTCTGCTGAATACATGAATGCGTCTTTCTCCCAACCCGCTTCTATGGATTCGTGACATTTTTGCGTTTCTTAAGCGACTCTTGATATCTTAAGTTGTTTTCCAATAAACTACTTTTTGGTATCTTCAGGCAATATTCGTTAAAACTTGCTTTGGTGGTGTAAGTCTAAGTCGTTCTTCAAAAGAAAAATTGCTTTTGGTTAGAAGTCTAAGACGGAATGCGTGGAAATCTTTCGGTCAGCTCCTGCGAGGCTGGTCTCCGAGCTCAACAGCTCTCTGTCGATCTGTCTTCGATCTCCAACCCCATTCTATTCTCTGAACGCCCGGGGACGTTCGTTTATATGGACGCCGACCAAAACCGGGTCGGTGTCTGTCGGGGTTTGGGTTCTTCAATAATTCCAAATTCCCAATAAATATTCTCTTTGTCTTCGGACAGAAAAATTTATCACTTCCCATTTTTGGAAGTCAATTACGTTCTGTTTTAGAGGGGTTCTCCCCCTTCTGTCGGGAGAGGTCTGAGGAGAATTATCCTCCTAAACTCTTCTTTTCTCATATTGGTATCTCATACCAATCCCTTCAGTGGGCGTCAACAGGTTTCCCTTCTTTCTCATATGTTCACCTTCGCCCATCACTCACGCCACCACTCAGCCAATGAACGCTCGGCAGCGTGGTTGTGGCTAGACTGGCCTCAGTTTAAATTATCGCCCAAAGAAAAAAAATATCTTCCCTTTTCTTTCTTTCTTTTCTATCGGCCAGAATTCTTATGGACCGCACATCGCGACTATTAAATTTTTATCTATTCCTGGGGTCACCTGGAATTCATTAGCGGAATTATCGCCGGCTCATTAACTATCCCTAGTCAACTATTTAACTGGGTGGTCGACTAAATCTCTTTGTCTTTCTCGTCTCAAAATTACCGCATTTCCAGATACCCGTTCTCGGCGATAGAAAGTCTGTCGTTAACAGTTCGAACAGGTAGTAACAATTATTTCCTCTTCTCGACCCTATCTCCTCATGTCAAGATCCGGACATACAACAGATGGGTCTCCTCGCTGGATACAAGAACCAAAATCAAATGATATCTCCGAAATATAATTAGTGGCTATTCCTTTTGGGTGGCCTCACTGAAATTCCTTCCCGGTCGCATGCTTGGCCCAGTTTTTGTTTATCTTTTAAAATTCTGTTTTCCTTGTCGCGTTATGAGATTAATTAATTCTGACAGAATCCGAAACCCGCTACTTTTACGAATTTTCTGTCTTCTGCGAAAAAATATCTTTCTTCGTAAATGAAAATAAAATCTTTACACATTTTTCTTTTGTTAAAAAAAATAATGTCGCTCGGTATGTCTTTCGTTATAGCTCTTTCTCGCCTTAAGTATTTCTCGTTTTAATTTCCATGCTTAATTAATTAGCCAATAGCTAAATAGTGTCACAAGAATATCTGCAGTGTACTTTGTTAATATAACAATTCGTCAGCAGATTATTAAGCTTCGAAAGAAGGATAATTTAAGTATTGGGTCTATTGCAAAGATTGTTAACAAGTCAAAAAGTGTTGTTCATGGTATTCTTAAGGTCTCCGATGATTGTGGTTCGTGTGAAGCAAGAAAGTCTACAGGTAGGCAAAGAAAAACGACCAAGAGAGAAGATCGTGCTATGGTAAATTTGGTTAAAAAGGACAGATTTAAAACTGCTACTGTTTATCGGGAAATGAGCATTGTACTGAAGAAAACTTTATCTCGAAAAACTGTGTCTCGTCGTTTACTTGAAGATGACCTACAAGCAAGAGCACCTGCAGTGAAACCTCTGATCAGCTCCAAGAATAAAATGTGTCGTATATCTTTGCAACCCAACATGTGTTGTAGTCTCAAGAAAAATGGCAAACGGTGCATTTCGGTGATGAATCTAAGTTTATCTTATTTGGCTCAGATGGGAAAAGGTACGTTCGTCGAAAAGTAGGTGAAAAATTGTCGCCTGAATGCCTTAAGACTAGTGTTAAATTTGGTGGAGGAAGTGTCAGGGTTTGGGGGATGATATCTGGAGATGGTGTGGGCTCTTTGGTGTGATTACATAAAAAGGTAAATGCAGGAGTTTATAAACAACTTGTAAAAGATCATGTCTTGCCTGTGCATTCAACTAAGCGACCAACCATATTCATGCAGGACAAGGCCCCATGTCACAAGGCTAAGGTGGTCATGAATTTCCTCAAGGCTGGAAAGGTTACTATTATGGATTGGCCTGCTCAAAGCCCAGATCTCAATCCTATTGAAAATGTGTGGAATATTCTAGGAGAACGTTCGAGAGCCAGAAATCCTAAAACAACCGAGCAATAATGGAATGCCCTTCAGGAAGAATGGAATAAGATCACCCAGCAAGAAATTTACTTTCCTCATGCAGTCGAAGATGTCAAAGTGTAATTGAAGCTAAAGGGCTTCACACTAAATATTAAATAATTCCAGTTTTCTCTGTCATTTTTTATTATTTTGTTATTTTTTCAACCGTTCTGATCATTTTGACCGCCATGGGTTTTGCAGTAAATCCCTAAATCATCCATAACTTTTGTATCATCCTCTCAAATTACACCAAACTCTCAGACAATAACAATTAATATCGTATTTATTGTCTGTGAAAACTATAGAATATAAAACAACTTTGATAAAAACCTCTACCTACTTTTCTGACGAAAACAATGCCGTTTTGAACATTTTGGCCGCCACTGTATATATATATATATATATATATATATATATATATATATATATATATATATATATATATATATATATATATATATATATATATATATATATATATATATATATACATCGCGTATTATATATAGAGATAGATAATAGTGTTTAATACTTTTGTTGTTAATTCTCGAGAAAAATATTTTTAAAACAATTAAACTTGCCGAGAGAGTATAGAGTAATAACGATATCAAGAGAGAAACTGTCATTTCACTCATTTTTTTTTTACAGATACGTTTTTTTAAAAATTTGCTGTTGCATCTTCCACAACCGTTTCATTACAATTTCATCCAGTCGTTTAATTTTTGCATTTTCTATTTTACGATAACTAATTACCATCTATGTACTTTTAATTTTTCGAAATGTCGTTATCATTGGGATTATTATAGATGTTATTATAGACAAAACGTTTCGGGCGAGTTCACTCTCGTCGTTATCAGGAGTTCATTGTTTTAGCTAATATGACGTCTGTGTTATTTTTTCCTGTGATGCTAAGTTATGATTCATTCCTGCTGAAGCATTGTTTCACTACCTGATTCAGAGATTGAACCAACAACCGCTAAAGAACAGAAACACATGCTTAACCAACACCTATAGCCACTACACCACCATCCAAAAGTAAATCAGAATTTGCGGAGACTTTATATTCAATTTGGATCCATTTTTTCGCTACTTTTTTATTTTGCAACATCAATGTACAGGAATTATTTCGAACTATTGTTCTTATCTTTATTACTATTATTTAATATTAAGAAAATTAGCCTACCTAGGGCAATGACCTTCACTTCAAAGTACTCCTCATGAGATCTCATGTACATATACCCATCATCTTTTCCAATTTTCAAAGCTCAAAATGCTTAAATAAATGATAATCAGTAGGAGAGATATTAGGTGAATATGGAAGATGAGTCAAAATTTCATAATTCATGTTATGCACCTTTTGGACAGTTGATTGAGAAGTGTGCAGCCGTGCGTTGTCGTGCCGCAAAATTGGATCATCCCTATTCACAAGTCTAGGATATTTTCTTTTTCAATTTTTCATGCATACACTCAATTTCTACACAATACGAGGTTACTGTTATTGTTTTTCCTTCAAGCAAGAATGAATAATGAACAACCCCTTTGAAAGACCACCATACTGTAATCCTTAGCTCTTTAGGATGCAGTGTAGGTTTTTGGTATAGTTTTGGTGATTCACTTGCATATAAACACTGACCTACTCTCTTACTGTTGTCAAAGAGTATCCATTTCTCATCGCATGTAAAATAATTCTTTTTCCCAGTTTGTATTCATACAATATGGTTACTCAACATTGTTTCATTGTAATTCTTTTCATTGAGCTTATGAGCAACAATATATTCAAAGAAAAAGAGTTAGGAATAAGTCATCTTTTTTTATAGTTATTTTCCAAACGTAGCATAGTGTAGCACAAGGCTGAAAGTATGGGGTATCTAGTGAGGATCGAACTCACTTTTTAGTTGTAACTGATCTAGCGAGACAAGCTTGCTAACCATTACACCACAGCGAGGTGCCCTTTTTTTATATATACTAAGTAGGTTACTTCTTTGGACGACCGGATCAGCAACCAACCAAAATATGTGTTATTTCATGTTTGACAAACTAATAGTAATACTTCACTTTATGATGCGGGAAAAATAGTTGGTTTCTTGTTTCTATTATGTACCTGATTCCTCCTGATCTGCCCTACCTTTAAAAGAACCAGATCAGACCGAAAATAGAGTATCGCTGCCATATATGGGGCTAGAGCTTACCAGTTTTGTTGTTCAAAATCGCCTTATTTTCTACCCATGTCTCTTGCTACTCTATCGCTATTTTCATGAACAATATTGTGAAGAGCTTTATTCCTTAGTTTCCCCCAGTTCTAACCTTCAAAGCTAAGACCCGCCATGTCCCGTATACTGGGACGAACCACACCCATTCTCTTCACATGCCATTAGTAAGAACGAAATCCCACTTGGGCAGCCCTTCTCCTAAATCGCTCCTTTCTGAAACCTTTCCTGACCACAACAATCTTAAACTCTTCAAGTCTAGAATTAACCGTTATCTTTCCCACATATCCTCATAAACTGCACCTCGTACTCGTGCTGCACATACAACAACCTCCTTCAGTAACCTTCTACCTTAAGTGGCTCTTTGAGCGTTGTTTGAGGTGAACATTAGGAAAGAAGATGTCTTCTTACACAAGACGCTTGCGTTCTTGTTTCTCAGTCAAAGGCAAAATTTCATAATTCATGTTATGCACCTTTTGGACAGTTGATTGAGAAGCGTGCAGCCGTGCGTTGTCGTGCAGCAAAATTGGATCATCCCTATTCTCAAGTCTAGGATATTTTCTTTTTCAATTTTTCCTGCATACCCTCTTCTTCTATTTGAGATAAATTGCTTTTAAAATAGAAATGTTGGTCAATTATTTTATAACCTCTTTCACATCTGCTTTATTTAGCCAACAATCACACATACTCTAGGCCATCGAATCCTATCACAAAATACGCCTAGCCACAAGACGCCAACCTGATCCCTCCCGTTTGTCCATGAATAGAGCACTTCTTGATCGAGACACTGATATGTTATCAGATCTCCAGGTTTATCTGGGTGTACGCAACAAAAGGATTTTACATCTTTTAAGTAAAAGTTTAACTCTTTAATTTACATGCACTTATCATAACGATCGACTTCTTAATTAATAGTCAATAATCATAATTAACATTCATTGATAATGAACAAGATTATATTGAAATATAATTAAAATGGGTTCATACTTTTCCCAAGATTATTTACGTGTAAGTAAATATAACGAAACCGGCTCAAATTGGAACTCGGCTCTCTGATTTCCAATTCTAAGCTATTATCCACAACTCCAGCCGCACATCCTTGCTTACAGCACCTGGCATTCCCAAACGGTCACCCATCTAGGTACTGGCCAGAGTCGACGTGGCTTAACTACGGTGATCGTACAAGAACGAGATTTCGATGAGATTTGGCCGTAAGCCCGTAACGGTTCAGAATTATAACAAATTTAGTATAGAAGTTAAGGAAAATGAACATAGGATAGGCTACACTAAGGTTTTCTTTTTCCAACAATGCAATATACTACAAAACCAAACTATTAACCTAAAAACTCGAATCATATTCTTCAGTAGACACTCCACATAGAGATTTTCTTGTGGTTGCCAGACATGGTACCAAACTCGTTCAGAAATATTTAAACCATCAAATGTTTTCTCAGATCAATGATTAAAATGGCTTCAAACGAATAATCCTTCTAGGTCTTAAAGAAAACAATCATTCATCAGATCTTATAGACTGGAGCTTTTTATACTTCTAAGTGCCCTGTCCCTTCAGGACGCTGGCGATCATGGTTCTCCACAACTTCCTGCCCTTTGTAGCTCATAATAAATTTTGTCTTTTTGTTATCTCTCCTAAACCCTGTTCTTCTATCCATTTACACAATCTCGTTACATAGGCTATGCGCTGCTTTCATTTATCCCTCTTGCCTTCAATATACCTTGTGAGTGTCAAATTTTCCAAGCCTTCTTTGCTCGTTACGTGCCCTAGAAATTCCAACTGTCTCTTCCCGATTTTAAGTTTAAGTATCCTTTTTTTATTCCATTTTCTCTAGAATCTCGTCGTTGCTCACATGGTATTTCTAAGCATCCTTCTGTAGAACAACATTTCTGCTCTCTCTTCGTCTGTGATGAAATTGTCCAGCATTTAATGCCATGCTAGAGGACCGATATTATATAACAGTTCTTTATTCCTTCCTTCACTTCCAACTAAGTTTTTTTTCTGTTTCCTAATATTTTACTTAGCTTTTGGAAGGCATTTTCGCTCTCCCAATGCGCTTTCGAATTTCAGTTTTCCTCTTTCCGTCCCCTGTCAAAACACTTTTCAGATCTCTAAATTGTTGTATTTGCTTGATTTTGGTATTTCCAATTTGTAATTTTCATGTTGGGCTGTTCCGTTTGCTGACAAAAAGGAATACCGTCTTCTTGCAATTGATGCTTAGTCCTTTCTTCTCGCGTTCCTCCAATACCTTTGCTAAGAGTTCTTGTAGTTTACTTCCTGTGTCTGCTATCAATATTGCCATCTGCAACAAAATAAATAAAATAAAGAGCTTCTCTGTATAACAAAAATACCATCAGTTGATGACTTCCAACATTAGTAACAACTAAAATGGATAGCATATCTAACTTAAAAGAGAAAATAATGATATAGTCTATATGTTGATTTTCTACACTACCTAAAACAAAGTGTTAGGAAGGAAACACCCGTCAGTATTAAAAGTGGAGTTGGGTAGCCTGTTTTCATGGAATCCTGGGTATGACGACAAATTACACCCGGCAGCAATATCTCTGATCGAGATGTTTTGAGAAGCGTAAGACCATCTCTGAATTGATGTTGTTTCCAGATTGACATTGACCCGGGGTGGTAGTACCTGTTAGGGTCCCAGCTATGGGCAAATAGTTAACCCCAAACTAGGGTCAAAATACTATGAAAGTATAAAAATAGATTTTATAGTACAAATACCAACAATACATTTTTTTGTAAAAATTGTATTACTAGCAATACATCTGACTCTCGATAAAACCCCTCTTTACAAAAATAGGTCGAGGAAACCTGATCTACAAACTGGTTTCTTACAAAGAATATATATTCTATTTATACGAACCTATCCTAAAAAAAATTATGGTTGATAAGCTGTAAAAAAAAAACAAAATAAAGAAAGCTAAACCAAACGTATTTTCCTGAAAAATTATTTCTAGATAAACATTTCATAAAGTTCAGCCGACTGTAAGGGTTACTGTCTTGGTCAATGTTATGGTCCAGGTTAGGACCAAGGAAGAACAAGACGAACACAAGAGTAAAAATAACGAAGGTATATTACACGAAATAATAATACAAGATGTGGAAGGTGTTAGTATGACTGTCAGTCTGGTTTGGAATGAACTACTATCGGCTCGACTCGATTCGATATTTACTTGCCCCACCACGAGGGAAAAATGTGGCACAAGGCCGAGTTTTACGTGGGTTTTCCGAGCCCGTAGGTTCGGCCAAAAAATGTCCGTAGAAACTGTAGAAACAGAATCGGGTTGGTCAACTTCCCCGAACGAGACTCTACCCTTCGGCGGAGCCTCGTCCGGCTTCCTCTCTGCTCAGAGGCAGAGAGTTCGCCCGTCAAGCCGAAACAGCTCGACTCGATTCAACCCTCTCTCTTGAAAGGCGTAGTATACATAGTGTTAGGAAGAGTTCATTCTGTAGTTATAGGTAAGGACCCATGACAGAGCCCCAATATGCCTTCCCAACTGAGCATTGCTGAGACAAAAAAGATCATTCAGGCTTTCAGTAATGGTACTAACATTCATACTCAGCTTTTCATCTTCAAAATCCATTCAAAAACCATCAAGAGAACTGTGAATAAGTTTTAAAAAGCGGGAACAGTAGAGAGCAAACCTGGATCAGGAGGTCACAACAGCAAGAGGGATCATCATTTCAACTTAGAGCTAAATAGATTTTTATTGTGCAAAGTAGAGTCCAACAGTGTTATTAAAAACCTCGGAGAATTCCATTAAGATATTTTTAATGATTTCTAAGATACAACGGTTCAAAGCTTAATCTAACAATTTTGCCGTAACACTTAGTAAATCGATGAGAAAATAATGACATAATCAAAATGTTGACATTCCAAACTACTTCAAACAAAAGCTTTGGAAGGAAACTTCCATCATTGCTGGAAAGTACGATAACAGATACTGAACTCCGGAAACATATTTTCAATTTGTCGTAAGAATCACTGAAAAAGTCCTTTGAGTTATTCAGTTAGAAAGTGAACAGATTAAAATCATTTTATGTCAGCCTGTTATGATCCAGGTTAGTACCAAGGAAGAACAAGACGAACACAAGAGTAAAAATAACGAAGGTATATTACACGAAATAATAATACAAGATGTGGAAGGTGTTAGTATGACTGTCAGTCTGGTTTGGAGTGAACTACTATCGGCTCGACTCGATACGGTATCTAGCCCCCCCCCCACGAGGGTTGCATGTGGCACAAGGCCGAGTTTAACGTGGGTTTCCCGAGCCCGTAGGCTCGGTCAAAAAATGCCCGTAGAACCCGTATAAATGGGATCGGGTTGGTCAACCTCCCCGAACGAGAGATTGCCCTTCGGCGGAGCCTCGTCCGGGTTCCTCTCTGCTCAGAGGCAGAGAGTTCGACCGTCAAGCCGAGAAGCTCGACTCGATTCGAGACCCTCTCTTGAGAGGCGTAGTATACATAGTATTAGGAAGAGTTCATTCTGTAGTTATAGGTAAGGACCCATGACAGCCAACGAATATCGATTGTTTCCTATATGGAAACGGTTAATGTTACCATTACTGTTTAATACGCTTGTTGTGGACTTGCTTATTACTGTTAATTCCGTTTAACTGCTTTTTATGTCACCATTCCGACGTCATTTCATCTGTAATTCCTTTTATTTGTCTCTGGCTTTCTCCAAGAAGTTGTTTCCCCCCCCCTCTTCACTTTGGTTTTAAGCTACCAAATTTGTTGTCCTTTTATCTTTATTCTGCCATGTCTCGCCCTCAGATCATTTGACAGCCGTGTCAATATATTCTTCGATGGTGTTGTCCTTTTCTTCTCTCTTTTATCTTCACATAAAATCGGAAGATGTCATCCTTCGAGCTTTACGCCTTGTCATTAATTTTTCCAGTTCTTTTATTCAAAGTTCTCAGTTCTCCTCTGAACCAGTTCAGAAAAGACCAACACTACTTTTATATATGAATGTTTGGCATGAGGTTACTAAATTCTCATATGTTTTCTCTTGTCCCTACCCTGCCAATGATTTGTAATGAGTTTGGATGAGAAGTTGGAGAGCCGAGTTCGAATTCAATACGACTCCATTACATTCGCTTAAGCGGATATACCTTTGAGAAATGAATGAACCCTTCTCCTGCTCCCGGCTGTGGGTTAAATAAAAGGATTTATATCTGCAAAAAGCATTGCTATTCTAAAAAAAATGGTTAATGCAATATTCACTCTTAAAAAAACAATTATTCTAACAATGAAAAAAATATTTCGGCTTTAAATAATCCAGAAATCCGTAAAAAGCCGCAAGAAAGAAATCAATTAAATAATCCTTAAATCCGTAAAAATCCGTAAGAACCAAATCAATTAGATAACCCAGAACTTCGGAAAAAGCTGGAAGAAAGAAATCAAATAACCCAGAAATCCGTAAAAAACGGTAAGAAACAAACCAATTAAATAATCCAGAAATCCGTAAAAAGCCGTAAGAAACAAATTAAATAACGCATAAATTACGTAAAAAAACGTAAGATGCAAATCAAATAAATAACCCTGACCTCTGTAACAAGCCGTAAGAAACAAATCAATTAGATAACCCAGAAATCCGTAAAAAGCGATAAGAAATAAATTAATTAGAAAACTCAGAAATCCGTAACGAGCCGTAAGAATCAAATCAATTAAACAACCCTGACATCTGTAACAAACCGTAAGAAATAAATAATTAAATAACCCGGAAATCTGTAAAAAGCCGTAAGAAGCAAATCAATTATTATTATTATTATTATGATGCAATAAATTACGCATCATTTATTTCGGCTAACTGCGTTACTTAGAATGATTACTTCGATACTTATTGTATAATTGATCTAAAAGAGTCAATTGATTAGTGCGTTATTTTATTTTATCATTTCACCACAACTAAGACAATAAAGACACTAATATGCAAGCTGTTACTGGGTGGAAGAGAATATGAAAAAAAAAACATTATCAAGGAGAATGAACAATAAAAGAACAAGAACAGACGATAACAATTGACATTACATTTAGATTTTTGAAGATCAAAGTTGATTGGAAAGCAAGAAACCGGAAATTGTTCTACAAAAGAAAAGTGTGAGAGAAGAAAAAGTTAGCATAGAACTTGCGGTTGCATCTAGCAATTTCAACTGTAAAAGGATGAGAAATTACCGT